AGCACAGGAGCAGGTTTCCACTGAGCAGACTCTATAAGGGAACAGCAGAACTATGTAACTGTCTGAAGTGTCTGGCAGACATCCCCTTCCTCTCTTTACTATACAAAATTGCCAACCTGATAATGAAAAAAAAGGACAAAATCTGAACGTATATTTAAAGTATTTTCCCGGTATTCCTTAATGCAAATGTCAATCATCTTAACCTTTTTCATTGCTGTATGCTAATTTTTCTCCTTGGCAATTAGTAAATGTTGTATGTCAAATTAAGTTAAAATTAATGGCAGAGGCAAATGTTGCAGTTATTAGCTCACAAGTGTCTTTAACTAGTAGTGCGTAGAGATGCATTCCCAGCATTGCAAACAGCTATGGATTAACCATCAAATGATGGTGAAGATTAATGATTGGCCTTTTAGCTCACTAATTTAGAACAATTTCTAGTAATTAATTTTGTATTAACAGCTTTACAGTTGCAAATGCCTTAAGGAAAATAAAAAATTACTTGACTTAACTACATTTAAGGTTCTTCAAGCTAACAGTTGTCTTGTAAATTGGTGCATGCTTGCAGATCCTAATGTTTAATCTTTAATATCTTTATATCCTATCCCTGTCTTTGTGCTTAGTACTCATAATTTCTACTTAATTTTGCATTTTCATTGATACTGCTTTTAACCTTAGATGCTTTCATTGTAGGGTGTACTGTTGGGCTTTGAATTTATATCCTTCATAAATGCCATGTCATGCAACAGAAGTGTGGGGGAAGATTTGTCCAGGGTCTCTATTGTGGCATCACTATTTCTTGGTTTCCTGTCAAACCAAATTTAAAAGTTAATATAGTGAGCAGGACAGTTTACAAAGGCTTCCGGCAAAGTTGGGTTTTAAAAAGCAATATTTCTTAAATTTGTTTTCCTCTTTATATAAATAAGAAACCCTCAAACTCAAAATGTGTGTTTGAAAAACAATGGTTTTGGTAGTCTTCATAATTTTGTACATTGTTAATTTTAACAGGATTGTTATTTAAAAGACAGTGTTCAAGTGATGTGTGTTTTTCCTGATGCTTTTGTTGAAAGTAGAAATTACTATCCTTTTAAAGTGGATTTTGGTATTTTTTGAGTGGTGTTCTCCTTTAGTTATGTGCTGTCCAATTTATTTTCCCTAGCCCATAATTTTACATTGCCCATCTGTAAAGATAAGTGGTGTATATTGACCTTTCTGCCACTTTTTATTTTTTTTTGGTAGCTGTAGTGATTAACAGTCCTGAAGAACAGAGTTTGGTTTCCAGAGTGTTGCTCTGTACTGACTCCCAAACCATTGTCTATCCTGTTTCAAATGAGACAGAAATTATATTGCATTGCTGTATCAAAGATTATATTTTTGACTGTTGACCATAGCTCGACACAGATAAACTTATTGTAAAATTTGGTGCACCTCTAACCTATGCAGCAGTAGAACTCATAACTTTCAGTGATCTTAGCTGGAAAAACAAAGCTTCTCAGTTTGATCCACATGTTAACATTCAAAAGATAACTGTGGTGCCTATCTAACTTCAAGGTAGCACATGTAGGTTATTAGAAAAAGCAAACCATGCAACAGGAAACTCTGCTAAGAGAGCAAAGAGACAAAGTAGTTTGGGGAGATTTTTGAATAATGATTAGGGTAAGTGTATACTGCTAAAAGAGGGGTTTTTTTAAAGAGCTGGAAAGTCTGCAGAAAGGGTAAGTCCTTTATTCTAGAACTTCATTCTTTTTAGATGGTCCTGTTACTTCTCCATCTTTTGGGCTTTAAAAAGTATTGTAGTACATTAAAGAAAAAAAAAGTGAAAACGTGGTGTTTCTTCCTCATTCAGGTGTTTTTAATAACTCAGAAATGCGGATGTACTTAGAAAGTAGAAACTGGAAGGCTTTCGAAGAGATTTTATCCTTGGTTTCTAAAACCAAGACTGGTCGACTTTCTGGATGGCATCATCCGGTCTGTGTTACTGAGCTCAGTGTGCCGGAAAGTGAGTTAAAATCAAGGACTGTACTAAATGCTGCTTTCTGGCTTCAGGGATTCCTTGAAGTGCTATGGAAAAGCAGCTATAGCAGAACTGATGATATGCTTTTAGCATGCATTTTAAGTGATGTTTTTTGATGGTTGCAATGTAACTAGGCTGGTAATTTATCACAGCACTTATGTAGGTAGTGCTGCTGGAACTTTGAACTTTATATTGCTGTTAGATCTTGTCTTTTGTAAGGATCAGTGTAAGCATCAAGTGTTCTTTGATGAAACTCTTGCAACACTGTGAATGTGCCCTTTTTGCAAGGTGGATTTAATAACTGCCAGCCCTGCAAAACATCTCTCTGATTCATTGAATTAAGGTTGAATTGTTGCTGTTATTGAACAGGTTCTGTGAGTTGTGTACTACTCTCCATTGCCCTCAAGTTTGAGCACTGAAGACAATCATGTTTTGTAGCAGATCCCTCTAGATGCTCTCCTGTGATCATCTTACTGTCATCGTGCCTGTCCCCATTTGTACTGGGGAAAGATGGCTGTGGCAGTAATAGAATCTGACATGTATGTCTCCCTTATTTGCCCCTTTCCACAAAAAAAAAAAGTAAGCAATGAAAAAAGTGTCATTCTCATCTTAATCTTTGTTGCCTTACCTTTGTTCATGGGGAGTAGAGAAGTAAGATTTTGAGGCTAAACCTGAGACATGTTTGACGACTTTGGAAGCAGTGCGTGACCAGAGTAGAATCCAGGTCTCATACTTGGATGTAGCTTAACAGTCTTAAAAAAGTAAGTATGCAGTATAGCCAAAGCCTGCAAATACTTTTGAGGACTCATTTTTTCAAAATGAATACGATAACAAGTCTGATGCTGAAGACAGAAATAAATAAAAGTAGCTAAATAGCTAGATTTGTTAGAGCTATACTTGCACTGCATAGGTCATGTGCATACATGCTGTGGGTCGTTCTGAGAACCACACCTGTTAAGTTTTGCTCAAGTAAAACGATATTATTTGTATCTGTTTAATGTTCTTTTGGCACCTGTTGGATTAAAACAGTAACTGTAGCTTTAGAAATGGAGGAAGCAACAGAGAGGGAGAAGAGGGAAACCCAGCTGAAGATAAGCTCAAAATGTCAAGATTTCTTCTTCAGGAAAGTAATAATTTGACCAAAAGTAGCAACTTTGCATGACCTATTTTGGGTTGCTTTTGACATCCTGACTGCAGTACAGTTCAGGAAGGAAATATTTCTAAAATAATAATGCCACACACACTCTCTATTTAGCAATACCGTGTATTCAAATTCTTTATAGATCCATTGTGATAGATGGATGAACTTTCAGCCATTTGTAATAATTCACTTTTTTGTTTGTGCATGATTGATTTAAAACTAGTACAGGAAGATTTTTTTTTTTTAATAAAAAATTGCAAAAAGCGGGAGATATCCCAGTTCTATTGCTAGAAACTAGCAAGTTTCAGTTAAATCGACTTGAATAAATAACGTGTTTCAGGTCATGTGTTAGAATAGTACACTGCTTCTAAGGTAATTTATGTTTGAATGATGGAGAAAACATTATGTTGAAAGGCTAATGTTGACAACACAGTCTGCCAAGAATATTTCTTTTTACCTTTGTTCTTTCTTTGCTCCTCTCTGATTTGTAAACTATACTTTCTAGTACCTTTTTAGCCTGTCAAGTTATTTTTTTACTTACTTGCATCATCTTTAAAGAAAATACTCCTAATGAATAATTGTCACTTTGAATACCATCTACATGGAATTTTTAGGGAAGGCCCAAATGAATGGGTTCAGTATGTAAGAGAATAAGAAAATGTAGAGTCATATATTTAGTAAAGCATACTGCTTTGCTTTGTCTATGGAAAATGTTTGTGATAAAGAAAAGGATTAAAAAAAATAACCCCCCCCTCACCTGTGGCTTGTATGTTGGGAAAATTGAGAACAAAGCTTACAGATAAATAAACACTTCCTTTATAGAAGATGACTCTAAATTCTAAATAGAAAGGTATGGATAAACTAAATTGAATGACAGTGTAATAGAAACTTGAGTTAGTCTAGTGAGATTTTCTTTTGACACACAGCTATTTATTTGGGCAAATTAGTTTTATTAGTATGTATATAAAGAGGTTTTCTATCTGCAGTTTTTTTATTTACTTAAAAAGTATAATACTTTTTTTTCAGCTCATCTGCAGGAAGATCTCTCTTTAACCGAATTGTGTTGCTGTTCTTATGTGCCTTTTAGACTAGGTGAATTTCATTCACCAGAGGAAGTATTCTCTGGAAAAATTTAGGTGTTATTTGGAGATCCCCCCAGAATTTTGGCTTTGTTACATACTTTTCTCTGCTCTCACCTTTTGGGCTTATATACTTTTATGTAAACTTCTTAGAAATTTATTTATCTTTGTGAATTCTTGAGCATTCTGCAGGTGCTAAAATGATGTGAACCCTCAGCTATAGCAAGCGCCTGTGCTACTTGTCACAGTGTCTGTCACCCCCAACAAAAAAATTGAGATTGTCAGCTATCTCAAGTTCTCTAAGTCTTTGGATGTTATGCTGTCACATCTTGGTCTGCGTTCTATACAATTACATGTATGCAAGTAGTAAAAATAACTCTAATTACAGAAGACTAATTAGCCTAGGAAATAATGCAAGTGTTAACTACACATAATAACTTCAAATGTTTTTACTTCTTTCACTAGAAGGAGTCTTTAAAACTCTGAGTACTTCCAGTAAACATTTAATTTGCTGTCCTTAGAATCTGTGTAGAGTTTTACTCTGTTTTTTTTCTTTTTTTTCCTCCCCTTTTTTGCTCTTTTGTCTAGGAGTAACAGGTACACTCGAGATAAACTTCCTCTCTGGCATGATTTTTTTTTTAAATTATTTATCATGAGGACAGTATCAAATATAAATGTAACTTTATGATTTGAGCAATGATTTCAGGTTGTTTTTTTTTCTGAGGAAACATTAAATATATAACTTTTGATGTACTTTTATCTCTCTTAGGTAACTTTTGAAATGCACAAAGAAAGTCTTTCTCAAATGTACAAAGAGTATCAAGGGAAAGGAAGTGAAAGGAGTGGAATATGTTCTTCAGCTCCAATTAGAACAATCTCTGGAGTTAGCAAAGAAGCTGAAACCAAGGGAAAGCAACAACGTTTGGAGGTAAAAGAAGATGCTGCTGCTCCTTCTGGCGTTATTGATGAGGATAGGGAGTGCAGTACTGAAAAAGAAGAGACAAATACCTCATCATGTGGTGACCAACAAATTCATTCAGTGTCTAATCGTAAGGTGGAGTTAGATGCGGAAGACAGGGAGACTACGCAGGATTTAAAAGCAGCGCCTTGTGCAGAACTTTCTCCGGAACCAGAAGGAATAGAGCCTAGTGTTTCAGAAATCAGTACTGGAATAGCTGAAGCAATTGAAGATTCACTGAGCAAAGCTGATGAACTTGTGAAAGAAACAGGAGCTGTCACTGCTGCTTCTTTAGCAATGCAAACTGCTTCGGAAAGAGAAACTCCTCCAAGTCCAGAAAGGCTGGAAAAATCAGCAGTAGAGGTGGAAGATGAAGATGATTTTGTTGATTTGAAAGAGGAAAGTAGTATGCCTTTACCTTCAGAAGAGTTTGCTGGAAAGAACAAGAAACATAGCTCTGATGAAAGCGAAGTGACAAAGGAGGAAAAAGCAATAGCGAAGCAACCTGAACCTGTGCTTTTGAAAGCTGAAGATACTGCAAGCGTGGATGGGCAAAAACAAGAACTGACTTCTTCACCAGAAACAGTGAGTTCTGCAGTTCAGGAAGTAGTGACTCAACCTGATTCGAAAGAGAAGAAGCTGAAGGAAGAAAAGGTTCTTTGTAGTGAAACCAAAACAGCTGATGAAAATGCAAATGCACATATGCCAGAGCCTGCTGGAGCCTCTGACAAAAGAATTGCCAAGCTTGATGTTTCTAGTGTTGCATCAGATACAGAAAGACTGGAACTGAAAGCTCATGCATGTCTGGAGACATCTTTGCCGCCCAGATCCTTACCCGAGGTAAATTCTAGTTGTCTTTCTTCTGTTTAGTTTAAAAATAAAAGAGAGTTCTAATTTTATGAAATTTTTGAACAAATGTGCCCATACACGTTTTTGGGATTTCATATGTACGGATTTTATGAGTTATCTAAAGAATACTTTCAACCCTTGATTAAAGTAGCCGTAATTCTTACTAATTTGTGTACTGAAAAGTCTCTAAGATTTTATTCTTTGCATGTCCACTTAGGGATGCTAATGGAGACTGAGTATTTGCCTAGATAGACACTTCATCAGTATTGGTACTTCTTAAGTTTGAAGAATTGAATGAAACTTCTAGATGAAATCTAGAATTTCCTTCTGGTTCTTTACTTACCTCCTCTTTGACTCTTTCAATCTCATCTCTTAAAATCCCAACTCTTATAATGATTGAGAAGTGAATGTTGCTTGTGCATAACAAAAAATAGCACTAAATTTCTTTTGTATCCTGATAGAACTTGTGAAAATATTTTTCACACTACCTACTGTACCAGTATATATATATATGTATACACGCTCTGTATTTGCAGTATGTTTGAAACTGTAAAATTTGATAGGATTATCACCCCATCATTTTGACCTACCTTTTTTTATGCAAGTGCAATTTAAAACTGGGCTTCTGTAGGATGCTTCAGCACTCGACCCCTTGAGCCTTTAGTTTCTAACTCAGCTTTTCATGGTTAAATAGTCATGTATCTGAGTTACTTCCCTTCTGCAGAGATACCTCCTAATGGATGCTCTTCATTCTGCACCATTCTTCCTTAAAGGAGGAAACCCACTGCCTACAGCAACATATGCTCCCCCTGTGGTAAGGTTGAGTTGCTACTTGCAGATGCCTAGACTGACCCATGTGGTAGAGCAGCCGTAGACTAGTTTGTAGGTTTGGTATATTCAACAAATAGCATTTGTGTAATAGTTTTAGCCTTATTTGTAACCGTGTATGCAGTCTAAACTTCTTGAATATTTAACATGGAAACTAATAACCTTATTGTGGGGTTGTGTGTCTTTGTGTTTTGTTGTTGGTGGTGGGTTTTTTCTTGTCTGCAAACTGCGCGTTCAGACCTCAAGGCAGCAAGATTCTTCAGGACAAGAGCTGGCTGCTACATCAGATGGGCAGAGAAGAGACTCTAGGTCAACTGTGTTCCGTATCCCTGAGTTTAAGTGGTCACTGATGCATCAGCGCTTGCTCACAGACTTACTCTTTTCCATAGAAACAGATATACAGATGTGGAGAAGGTAAATTATATGGAATAATTTACACTGGCTTTTCAGTGTTAATTAATTTGAGATTCTGTTGAAACTGCATAAAATTCACTGTTTTACTTCAAACTTTTCACATCTACTGTTTTACTCATTATTCAGTAGCCTTACTTAATTTGTGACCTATACCCAAAGCTTCTCAGATATTTTTTTTAAAGATTGTGTACTGGTTGAGGGCCTGTACATATGTTTTAACTGAAATCCTGGCTGCATCTAAGTCAGTGGCAGTCTTGCTGTTAATTTTTATTGGACTGTTATTTTCATGTTCCTAATATATGTAAGGACCTGGATCTTCTATTAGAATCTAAATATGGACTAAAAAAAAATCTATCCCAAATAGTATTTATTTCTTCTGTATTTACACAAACTGCATTGCTGCTTTGATAGGATTCTGTGAACAAAGAGGTGTTCTATGCATTTAATAAATAACTTATAACAGGATTTGGAATCATAGAATCAAAGAATGGCTTAAGCTGGAAGGGACCTTAGAGATCATTTTAATCCAGCCTCCCTGCCGCCAGGGACGCCATGTAATCATCAATGTAATGTAATCATCAATGATGAATTTAGTAAAATAAGGAAACTTCAAAAACAGTAGCAATTCTGTATTTTAATTTCAGGATTTAATAACTTAAGAGTGGTGACTATTGTTAGCTTGCACTAGTGAATGTCAAATTTAAACTGAACCATATAGTTATACTGACCAGATAAAAAGGAATGTAAGGATGAAGAAAAAAAACGACTTGAAGAGGTATATTTTTGTCTGACTATAATTTTTAGGATGTGATTAAATTGACCTCTCAGGCCATCAGGACATATAGCTAAAATATATTTTTAATTTAGGTTCTGTTTTGAAAATGTATTTCCATGTTTAATAGGATTTAAGATTTTTGTGTGTTGTTGATTTTTAATTTCTCTAAAAAGCCCTTACTATTTGCTTTATTTTTCCAAAGATTTAAGTTCTAGTTCACACTCTCTGAAAACTTTATTGTACTGCCTGATACAGTGATTTTTGCTATAGCAAGTATTAATAGATCAGCTTATAATCTATCTTTATTCAAATGATGATTAGCACAGATCTTGATGTTTTTAGCAAGCTATGATCTGGAAAGGTTGAAGAACAGAAAGAGAAGGTGGTTTTAGGTTTAGATTAAGGCACATCAGTTGACCCTTATGGTCATGAGTTGTTTGCTGCCCCACTGCTAACTGTCTGGTGTTAGTTTTATGAAAGCATAAAGATGATAAAATACATCAAAAATAAAGCTGTATTCTGATTTAAATGAAATTTTTTTTGGTCAGCCATTCTACAAAGACTGTGATGGACTTTGTGAATAGCAGTGACAACGTCGTATTTGTGCACAACACAATTCACCTCATCTCTCAAGTGATGGACAACATGATCATGGCTTGTGGTGGTATATTGCCATTGCTTTCTGCTGCCACATCCGCTACTGTAAGAAATTTCAGTTTTATTTGAAAATTTGTCTCTTGCAGGAGGATGTTTTTCTGTATGCAATGTATTAACTATTATACCTATCCTTTTGGGAAACAGGAATGCATGTGGGCTTTTTCCACAAGCATTTCTCTCCTCCCTTTGCTGCCTCTGTGCTTTCCCTAATATCAATTGGATGCCTGCCCTTGTTGCCTGAAGACATGAAAAGAAGTTGCTGAGCTTGATTGTCCCACAGTGGTCTGGAGTGGGGTTAAATCTCAATATTAATAATTGTTCCTAGAATATTGCTAATTATTACTTTTAAGTGTGGATGCAAATGGACTTCCAGATTACCATTTTCTTCAAGTTCTACCAATATCACCTTTGCGAAGAAGTAAATGTTGCTTTCAATTTTTCCTCTGTGTAGCATGAATTGGAGAACATTGAGCCTACTCAAGGACTTTCGGTAGAAGCCTCTTTAACATTTCTCCAGAGATTAATCAACCTTGTGGATGTGCTAATTTTTGCAAGCTCTCTTGGTTTCACTGAAATTGAATCTGAGAAAAATATGTCATCTGGAGGAATTCTGCGACAGTGTCTTCGTCTGGGTAAGCAAATAAAACCACTTGATGAGCATAGGAGCTTGCTGCTACTAGTTAGCAATTGTTGGCTTTATTTCTTTTTTCCTGTCTGTTTTCATTAAATCAAGATAAATTTTAGTCAAAAAAGCACTGAGATCTTTTATTGTATTCTGCAATGCATATCAATGGGGCTCTTTTCCTTTTTAAAGAGTTTAAATAAAATAAAGTCTTAAGTTTGGTAGCCTGACTGTCGTGGATGCATGTTTCCGTTTTATCCATGAAAATATTTCTTTTGCCAAAGTTCCCCAAATAGTTAAGGCTGACAATATAGCAGCTTTAAGAAAAAGAAATCTTGTACTGTATACAGAAACGTGAACCTTTATAATATGGAGAAAAGAGGTTTAAATCTTGAGGTCAGTAGATGTAAGTACAGTGAAAAGTAAAGATGTGCATTTCTAAAGAGTAGGATTCAAATTGGGCAGTAGTTGTATCCAGTATTGTAGTATGTTTGCATCAAATTGAACTGAAAGAAAGTGGTCATCTAAAAAAGTAATGACTATTCTGAAAGTGAGAGCATATAAGTTCATGATTGGGTTCAGTTAGTTAATACAGGTAGAGAGTTTTCATGCTAGTTGCATGCTGTCAGACTTATTGTAATGAAAAGTTTAATTTGCATGAGTGCCAGAGCAGCTCAGAGCCTCAACAGTAACTAGCCTTCCTCTCCCTTTCTAGGCAATTAAAACTTTGTGCAGGTAGAACAAGATATATGGGATGCAAACAGGTATAGAGGTGGGGTAGTTCTTTTTTCCTTTGAAAATAATATTAGAAGATGAAACAGGTGCAATTTTGAAGCTAAAAAAAATTAATCGTATAACTTCAGAATATTTAGCCCAAGAGTAACAGAGCATTGTGAAGCAAACATTTGTTTCTCTAGTGTATCACTTGTCTTTCTTCCTTGCTAGTCTGTGAGATTTCGCTGTCTTCACCCTCCATGCCCCGTGGTTGTATGCATGGTAAAATTTCAATGAGGGATGCTAAATTACTCACTTTGAAGTATCCATTAGTTATACTATACATCTTCTAATAGTTTAGTGTTAATTATTAGTTATAAATTATTAAAGAATTTTGAGCGTTGTTTTGCAACTATTTAAAATTTATGGAAGCAAAAATACAATTTTACTGATGTGCTTCAACTTTCTAGTGTAAGTGATAAACAGAAATGTGTTAGACAATGCTATTTCCTGGAGTAATTCTTAACATTTCTTTTCCCTTCAAGTATGTGCAGTAGCTGTAAGAAATTGCTTGGAGTGTCAGCAGCATGCACAGATGAAGTCTGTTGGAGACACTGTGAAGAACCCAAAACCAGTGCAGGGCTTTGTAGGAACAGGAAAGTCCGCAGCAAAGGCAAGTATAAGATGACATTCAAAAACAGGAAAGTCAATAATTATTACTCAGTACAGAGGGCTAAAAACTTACACCCGCACCACTGATAATTTAATGGAGCTGAAGGGCATGAACACTGGAAATCCTGACGCAGTTTTTCCAAGATGTGAATTTAACATTTACATATCAAATTTAGCACTTACATATTTAACCTTCCACAGTGAAATAAATCTGTCACAAGAATTTGCCACGTTTTTCTTCCTGCAAAGATGAAAAGCCTATCTTTGTGCTCTGGTTATGACAGTATGATTTACAGTGGGTGATTGCACACACTTAATGATTCTTGTTAGCATGCTTTTAAAAACAGAATCTGAAACAATTGTGGTGGTTGGTTTTTTGTTTGTTTTTTTTTTTAGAGTCCAGTGGACATTGTGACTGGTGGCATTTCTCCAATACGAGACCATGACAGACTTCTGCAGGATATGGATATTAATCGACTTCGAGCAGTAGTGTTCAGAGACATAGTGAGTTACAAATAATGTTGTTTTCTTTGTAGCTAGATTCCTGCATATATATCTGTTTGCTGAATGCTATGTGTCACACAGTTTTGCTGAATAGAATTTAGGAAACCTGAATACTGGTTGCAGTAATTAGGAATACTCTGCAGCTGTTGTAGTAGTTGGGATTGGAAGGAGGGAGAGGTGAAAATGTCCACTCTTTGTTGTGTTCCTAAGAGCTAATTCTCTGGAATTTTGCCTATTTTATACTATGTATATGATGTTTAGTACAAATATATACTTCCACATGCTTGCACATAGACAAACAGCTCATGTATACTATGTATCATAAAGATGTTGATGTGTACTTTTTGAAAATCGAGTATCTTTCTACTTAATTGGAAATTAAAGGTCATCTCTAATTCCTTTACTTCCCCTCAGAGGAACCAATTTGTGTGCATGTGCTGTAAATATGCATAGGTTTTTTTTTAGTCTTGAATTGACTAAAAATATCTTTGTCCTGTGTCAGCAACTTTGTAGCTGATGATGAGGAAATTGAGATTGATTGCCTTAAAAAAATACCTCTGTAAGCAAGTACAGCAGCTATAATGTCTATGACTCATTGGTGGCCAAAAGCATGGACACCAGAACTTATTTCACAATAATTGGACTATTTTGCAAGTATAGTGATTTACACAGTGACTTTTGTTCTGTCCAGAATAGCGAAGGATCTCTGGTTTTTATCTTTATAGCAATTATTGATTGAAACAAGCTTGTTTCAACCCCTTCTTAACTATCAGTGTGGGAAAGAGTAAGTGAATCTTCCATACTGGTGGCAAATATAAAATAATCATAGACTGATTTGGGTTGGAAGGGACCTTAAAGATCATCTAGTTCCAACCCCCCTGCTGTGGGCAGGGGCACCTCTCACTTGGCCAAGTTGCCCAAAGCCCCATCTGTTCACAGCAAGTGCCGTTAATATCTTGGCACATTTAATAGCAGAGGAAACACCTATAAGGAAAGGGGACTTTGTCCCTGCACTAATTTGAAGCAGGTAGTCAAAACACACAACCATAGTCAAAGTTGTCATATTTATAAATGAAAAATGAAAGGATTAGTGCCACTTGAATACAATTGCTGTATTCCCTAGTTTTATAGGTGAGACAAACTGTGACTGGAGAATATTGTTCTTCCATTGTTGACATATCAGCTTACTCTCGGTCTGTTTATGGTAGCGCTGGGCATACTTTACAGAAAAATAAACATGCGGCTGAAATTGTAATGGAAATATCTGTGTGTGTGTTTTTTACAGGAGGATAGTAAACAGGCTCAGTTTTTGGCTTTGGCTGTTGTGTATTTTATTTCTGTGCTCATGGTTTCGAAATACAGAGATATATTGGAACCCCAGAATGAAAGACGACCACCAAACCAGAGCCAGTCATTCAAGGAATCAGAGAATGAAAATGAAACCCCTGCTACAGGTGAACTGTTAATTATTTGGCCAAATGAAATAATGTTGCTTATGCATCTTAAAATTCAGTACAAGTCCATGTGAAATTGTATAGGAATATGCACATTTTAAGTGCTTAAATAAACAACATCATAGTATTTGTGTGTGTGTTTTTCTAGTCTGAGAAGAACCTAATCTGTAGGTTGATTGTGCTGTGTAGAGTTGGTTAATCTCACTGAAGTAGCAAAGTATTTACCAATGCTTGTTGTGAATTTTGCATAAGGTTAAGTATGCGTAAGCATAGACTGGCAGCTCTTTCTTTCCACTGCAAGACTTCTTTCTGCTAGTCTTCCATAGGGCAATCAGATAATTTTCATTCTTCGACTGTTGAGTCAATATCTTCTATTTCCTTCTCTCGTTTTTTAGATGTTGTAACTTTTCAGGCTTCTCAGAAATTAGAAGGAGATTTTTCGTTTTTTTTCTGGTTTTTTTTGTTTGTTTGTTTCTTATTAGGTACTTACAGATAATATTAAATTTCTAAGTAGGCAAGAGGAAATACATAGATTTGTGTTACTTGTTATGTACTGGTGTTACTTCTTTAGGAGCGAATGCAATTCTGGTAATAATGAACTAAAAGTGTGTTTTCTCTTTCAATATGAATAGATGCAGAAAACCCATCTGCTGCTGTCGGTGCTTCAGCCTCCACTGAAGAATTGGAAAGTACCACATCTGTGCAAAGAAGGGATTCTGGTCTTGGGGAGGAATCAGCTTCAGGGCAAACAAACAGTTCCAGTAGTGTTGTTGAAGCAGGACCTCTTAATGTCAGTGCAGGTCCAGATGCAATCAGTGAAGTACTATGCACACTCTCACTAGAAGTAAATAAATCCCAGGAGGGCAGAAGTGAGACAGGAACTGAGGACAGTAAGCCTGCAGCTTCGGTGCCAGCTGCAAAAAATGTCAACGTGAAGGACATCCTGAGAAGCTTGGTAAGCACACCAGCTGATGGGACTGCAGTGGATGCTGCTCTTCTGCCACCAACCTTCCTTGGAGTTCTTGGCGACGGAGCTGCTGAGCACCCTGTACAGTTCCATTCCTTTGACAGGTAATGTAAGTTCTAAAATACTCGGGCTGTTTCATTTTGCTTAAGATATCTGTAGGGAACAGATACTATAACACTTCAGTCCACCATATGTAGTGTATGGTGTCGTCTAGTACTTAATGTAATCAAGATGCTTTGATTTACAAGTAGAACCTTTGACCACAAAGTTCAGCAACTTCACCTAGGTTCATCACAAAGGTACACTCAGCTGTTCGTGGGATGCTCTGCTATGCTGGAAAAGAAGACTGGAAAAGTGACTAGTGACTGCCAGCACCTCTTTAAGAGTTTACTCTCCTGTCTCTGTATATGTTACAGCTTAGAAGTGGTATGGTAAGAGGGCCATTAAATTGCCCAGAAATAACAATGAGAGTAAACGAAAATATTAAGGGTGTAAGCTGTTCTTCTGTCATTTCGCTTCTATTCCTAACTGCAGCACGTGTGGATGAGTGCTGCTGTACTGTGCATATGTAGCCAGCCTTTAAGTTATTTAGTGTCCTTTTTATTTCCTGAGACCTTTAAGTAATGATCTGTAGATTAGCTGGTGTATTGATCACACAGCTTTATCTATTTCTGTTATTGTGGGCCTGCAAAGGAGTACTGTTTTAAGAATAGTTACTAATGGATTGAAAACAATGGAGTAATCATCTAGGTGTCCTTCTGCCCATAGAATGCTCCTGTATTCATTTGCAAAAATGCATCTGTGTGCTGCCTCCTGGTGCTAGCAGACTATTTTAAATGTATCAGGCTTCATTCAGTAGGTATAGCCCTAAACTTTTTTTTTGCTTTGTTGTTTGGATAGTTTTTAAAATTTTGTTTTGTGTTAAATATCTGCCTTTCTTAATACTCAACTGCTGTGCTGGCTTTAAAAGGGAGCATTTCTGCTTTGTTTCTCTTCCGTTTTCTTTTAGATTGAAGTCCCTCTTTCCTGATAAAAATTTCAGCGTGCCCTACATCGCAGTCTCCTTATCTCCTTATCTTTTCTCAGTAGACCGCATTGTCTTTTATTATGCTCACTGACTTTTAACTCTCCAGGATTCCCCAAAACAACAAAGAAAAGGAAGAATGAAAGAAAGTATCCTGTAGAATTCCTGCCTCTGGAAAAGCCTTAGTCACATGCAGAAATCCTGCAGTTGATCCTAGTGCAAGGGGATTCCTTGTTAATGTGCCAGCACCCAATCCTCTGCTTGTTCCTTTGCAGTCTGTGTCTGCTTTGCTTGAACTGACAAACTTAGATGACCCAAGAAGGGGTGGGTATGCAGCTGTCACAGCATATCTCCTTGGCTCCGATGACGGTATCACTACTGAGGGAAGAGATGGTGGCGGTTGTCTGGCTAGATTAGGTGCAGATGGCGTTTTTGGTGTTTGGCTCCCTTGTTCTTGTCTCAAAGTAAATACTGCATTCTACTTGCGATGCTGAACAGGAGGACTTGTTTTGGGAGCAGAGGGAGTGTGGAAGCAGAGAGGGAAAATTGGGAAAAGAGGGACACTGAATTAGAACTTTTCACGCCTCTTTCCCTGCTGCTGCCCAAGTGCTTTTAGCAGTTCCCCATTGAATCGTAGAATTGTCAGTGTTGGAAGGGACCTTAAAGATCATCTAGTTCCAAACCCCTGCCATGGGCAGAGGCATCCCGCACTAGAGCAGATTGCTCAGGGCTGCATCCAGCCTGGCCTTAAAAACTTCCAGGTATGGGGCTTCCACCACCTCTCTGGGCAAGCTGTACCAGTGTCTCAACACCCTCATGGTGAAGAACTTCTTCCTAACATCCAATCTGAATCGATCCATCTCTAGTTTTAATCCATTCCCTCTAGTCCTACCACTACTCGACATCCTAAAAAGTCCCTCTCATTGCTCTTTGCATTATGTGGGCAATTGATGGAGAAATAGCCTCGTGTTTTAGTCTGTGACTAGTCTTTTTCCATGGGAAATTGTTATTGTTCGTTGCTGAGTGGTAGAGATATGAAATAACATTTGTCTGGAGACATGGTACGCAAATGTATGTTGCATTTTGGAGTTATTTTTTAGCTGTTGCTAAAACTGAAGATTTGTGCTGCCTGTGTAAATCTGATTTGAATTGGTGTAAAGCAGGTTAACTAGACAGGAAATAATTGGGCACTTGCAGTGCCGATATCCGACATAGGTAGATTACGCCTACAAATCCTTCTTATCAGAGGAAACTGTGATTTAATTCAGTAACATACATTCTAATGCAATACTGGGCATTGGCCAGTTCTGTTCTTTTTTTTGTATAGTTACACAGTCACTCAAATAACAAAAACGCCTTAAATTGCAGTGTGTTTTGTAAAGCAAGTTGCTGAAAAGTTGAACTGCTTGCCATTTTGCCCTTTTACGTGCTGCACCGCCCCAGATGGACTCTTCTCTCCTTTTCCCATCTCCAGAGTGCCAGCTGTTTGTAACCACAACTCTCAGCATTTTCTCACTTAACCTTGAGACATTAGCCCTGTATCAGATACTGAAAGGAAGCTGGTCTGGTGAAGGAATATATGCAGAGGAGTAGAAGGGGTGTGTGGACTGAAGCAGTGGACAGCTGTGTGCTTGTGAATGGGAGAGCAGAGGGGTTTTCTGGGAGTTTATGTAGCTCTCTGGACTGCTCCACGATCATAACTTGTGGCCTTTAGCTTCCCATGACTTTTCATGTTTAGTAGGTTGGGCTAAGTATGTGAGGAAAAGACTGTGGGCTAGTATAAAATATTTTGTCCTTCAGCAGTTGCATATGACCTCGGTATGTCAGTGGCTCTGTGTTTCAAGGTGGCTTAGTTTTTCATTTCTTTTTGGTCAGGTAGACAAAAGTGTACTTAATGATGTAGAAGTCTTACCCCTAGTCAATTATCGCCTGGTAGTGACATGCACCATCTTGCATCTGTTTTAAATATGTTGATCTATGGTAAGGTATGTTGCTAACTAGCTAATACGTCAATTAAAAAGATGAAAAACTGTGCATATGAAACACTTATATTTCAGTTATATAGGCAGGAATGTTTCATGACCACTTCAAGGTGACTGTGTCTTTATACAATATGACTCTGCTTAAAATACAAGTTGATGCTCTGAAATGACACCTAATGACAACTGTGGGAAGGAATTGTACCAGCAAAAGAAACCGTTTTACAGCAAACTATAGTGGAGTTGGAAAGAGTAGCTCTTATCTCTCAGTAGACAAAAATACATTGGGGAAGTTTGGAAGAACAAGCTTTGGGATGCTCTCTTGTTTTCTGTGTCTGGTTTACATTTAATATATTGTTTGATGGCAAACACAAGTTCTGTGAGTTAGCAATTTTTTTCCTTTTTTTTTTTTTTAAAAGACACTTTGTTAAAAGTTGTTCCCATGTAGCAGTTTGCCGGTGGGATATCTCTGGGAATTTCAAAGCATCTCTCTGATCCTGCATTTATCTCAGGAATGCTGTGTCAGAAATCAAAACTCTCCTCATATCTTAAGGATTATCAACTTCCCAGCCATAGCTGGAGAGTATACAGTAACAGCTATGTGAGTGAAACCTTACTGAAAGGCTGCCAGGTTGCAAGCCTTTGCAAACAGCTAGGTGTGTGTGTTCATTCCCATGCCAAAAATCTTCCCCTTATCTTATGTGGAGATACAATCTTGTGATTAGTGGGTGCCAGGGGTTTATCATGATAAAGTTCAAGACTTGCATTGGCTTTTTCCCAAGATCCATGGGGACATGAGTTAATGTTCCAATTTCAGTTTATCCTAAACCAGCAGTTTTCTTATTTAGTAGTAATCTTACAGAGAAGGAGGGGGAGCTAATGCAAGCAAATTTAAATAAAACAGAAATAAAAATAATAAAAGCTTAGGATTTAAAAAAGATGTTTTTTCCTCTTCAGTTAGTCTAGTAAAACCCATAACCTATCGCTTGCCATTTTTACTGTGCAATTTAAAATAAAACCTTGGTCTCTCCTGGCTTCTACTGCTCTTTGTGGAAACATTCAATAATCATGTCATTACAGGAAGCTGATGCTGAGAGTTCAGAGGAATATAGGCTCTTAAATCATGGTCTTGTACTGTAGAGCTTAAATCTGCAGCTGTGCTGTAAGTTATAGAACAGATATGTTAATAAGCTTGTTTATCTTTTTGAAACATCATCTATAAGCTGCTTAGTTTGGCTCAGCCTACGTTAACACATTTGCCAGTAGTCGTGTGAATCTGGTTTGGTTAGTTGTGATATTTGGGTTCAGTTAAATCAAAGTCCCTTTTTGTTATATGGAATAGGTGCATTTTAGAATTCATCCATTTGGGTCTCAAACATGAAAAAACAAGTTGTCTTCAACAAAATTAAGTCTACTAGGTACAGGTAGAGACAGAATATGAGAAAGGGGGATCTGCCGATCAAGGCACGTATGCTGAGATGAGAAGCTCAGCTCATTTGGCACGGTAGCAATTTGCATTCTGCAGGGGCTGGAGAGGCAAACCATTTGAAGTCTTCTCTCTGCCAAGCTGATTTTAAAATTCTCTTACTAAATTGATTGTGTTCTTTCTATCATCTCTTCTCTTCCCCCCTTCATTCCTCTCCCTCCCCCTCATTCTCCTATGGTTTTGAGAGTCTCTTATTCTGCTTTTTTCCTTGGGTATTTCAAGGAGGATGTGAGAATGGGTATTATCTACAGAGAGCAGAACTCATGGAATGACACTGACATGGCAGGCTGCTTTCCTGGCACACAAAGTAGAGGCACAAATAACTCTCTGATCCTCTTTATTGGTCCTTTGCTCCTTACACAGGGCATCGTTCCACTGCCCACTGCAGTGAGCATTGTTCTGGTAGCCTGGAACAAGACTAACTTCTCTTGGGTTTGGATTAAAACCATT